GCATCCAATAACACGTTCTCTCTCTCTCTCTCTCTCTATAATAGAAAAATGATGAACCCATGGGACCCCTACCGCACCCACCAACCAAGGGAAGACATAAATGAGGGGCCGCTTTTGAAAGAGGCATCTTCCACAGCCAAGTACACACCAACTCTCGCCATCGTGCCTAATGAGCCTCACACCATCTCTCTCTCTTATCTCCAATACACCTGAAACATACGTATCATCCAATACACATCAAGAGACCCAAGACAACTCCTGGATTTTCCATAGCCACAAATTTCACTTTTTGGCGAGGAAATTAACACTAATATCCTTTATAACAAAGGGTACATTAAAAAAATAAAAAGTATATATATAAAGGTCAGCACCTAACAATCAAATCTAGAGGAATTCCCTAAGAGAGGATGTTTGATGCCCAAAAATCTTCCAATTGATCATCTCCACCTCAAGATGTATGGACATGAGAAAAATAGATTTCTAAGTTTTGGAGATAGTGTGTCTAGTAATGCATTTTTTAGACCGTCCATTTTCAAGATTTTCAGTGTTTGTAGATCTGCTCGATGTACACTATTTTTTAAGTTTTGAACTCCATAATTAGAGATTAAATAAATCTTTCAACACTATTTGAAGGTGCGCCTTACGTTGATTGTTTAGGGCCTCAATCTTATACAAACCCCACCCCTTAATCAATGAATATCATATTTTCCTAAAATACCAATGTCTAAAAGCACGATGGGAAAAATAAAAAATATAAAAAATCCCAAAAAAATTAAGAAAAATAGGTTCCAAGTAAAATTCAACAAAACACGTCTAGTTAAAAAAAAGTAGTGAAAAAAAGAATTTTTTAAAATAATCAATTTATGACAGGTATTTTAGAAATAATCCGGAAGGGAAAATATAAAAATAGGTAGTCCTGGTCAAAGCACCTTCCCATTTTGTCCAAAATGATAGAAAACAATAAAAAAAATATTACAAATAAATTCTTTATTTTTTTAGATTTTTTATTTTATTTTGTAAGATCCTCAAGTCGAACTAACCAACCACCTCAAGGATACTCAGACTCACCAGGGCTGCGAGTTCGAGTTGACTCGCTCAAGTATCATCACACTGTAAAATACCCTTGACCAGTAGTTCCGGTTAGCTTCAATCTATCTAGTGTATGAAAAATCGATTCGGAACGGTTATCAGGACATGGGCCTCGAAGCGGTTCAACCGGCCTAACCAGTAAACCGGCCGATTCAACGTTCTCAGTCAAAAAAGTGTGATTTTTTTTTTTAACAAAAAAACATACAATAAAATCTAATAGAATACAAAAAAGCACATCCAAATGAAGTTGAAAATTAATTAAAAAAAAGAGTTTAAATAATTGATTTTTGCCCAGAGGTATTTTTGAATTTTTTAAAAAAGATAGAAAAATATAAAAATAAGAATTAATGACCAAAACAATTTCCAATCTTTGCCATAATGATATAAAATATTAAAAAATACATTACACATAAAATCCCTTACTTTTTGGAATTTTATATTATTTTTTTAAAAAAAATACCTAGCCGATCATCAAAACCGGCCAAAATTGAAACTGGCGAACCAGTAGCTAGTTCCAATCTAACCAGACGGTTACCGATTAAACCGTCCAAATTTTCCTTCAATAATCTATCATTTCATCTTTAAAAGGCTTTCTTAGAAAATAGCCAATGACATAAAATTAATATTTAAGAAATTTACAGTAATATCCCTTATAGTTAAGGGTAACCCTTATGTTTTCTTGATGGAAAGAGTTTATACTTTATCTAAGGTTGCAAGTTGCAACTTTAAAATATAACATTAAGTTGTACTTTAAAAATTCATTGTAAAAGGCTATTTTAATGTTGAAAAACCCTTTAATTAATCATCACGACATTGATAAGTATATATATATATATATATATAAAAGATTTTGAGTCTAAAAAATATTGCAATTTGCAATACATTTTGTCGATCTATTTTCAAGATTTTCATACATTTATAGATCTACTTGATTTGAACTATGTTTAGAGTTTAAAATTTTATAATTAAATATATAAATAGATTCTCATACTATCCTAGGACTTTTGACACAAAAATTACATCTCCTTATATTAAGGTTTGGGCGTGGGCGTACACCTTAAATTGATGGTTTAAAATTGCAATCTTTTGCAAAATGTAGTTTGTATAGGGCCGAGGCTTTAAAGAATCAAATTAAAGGGCGCCTTCAAATAATATCAAAAAATGTGGTTTCAATATTAAAAATCTTTGTGATAGCCTTAAAATATATTTTCTTCTCTAATCATAAAATTTAAAGCTTAAAAAATAATGTAGATCGAGGAGATTTATAAACACTTTAAAATTTTTAAAATTACAAGATGCCGTATTTCCAAAACTTGAAATCCATTTTTTTTTCGTATCCATGCATCTTGATGCTGAGATTTATAGTTTGAAAATATTTGAGCATCAAAACAACCTATTCTAATGAAATTTTTGATGTGAGATATAATTTGATTGTTTAGAGCCTCAGCTCTATATAAACTTTTTTCTTATTAAAGTACCCTTCACATCATAATTTTTGGATGACTTCAACCTATCCTTCTCTCATGTCGAACTAAGGTGGACCTCAAAAATCCTATTGAGGAGAGTGCTCCGGCATCACAGAATCCTCCAAGTGATCGTCTTGGCATGGAGATAATGAACATGAAAGACAAAAATAAAAATAAAAATTTTTAAGTCCAAAAAATGAAACACATACTGCCTATTTTTAAGATTTTCAACGTCTTTTTTTTTTTTACTCGATCCACACAATTTTTAAAATTTTAAATTTTATAACCACGATGAAAAGAAATTTTCAAGCCAACATACGGTTTTCGTCGCCATAAATTTGTACGGTATAAAAAGGCAAACAAACCTCAATCCTTTTTAAAAGGAATGAACCTAGAGTCTAATTATTAGTTCTAGACCATCACACTCACAACCATCTTATTTAAAATGACATGGACATCAATAATTGTTATAAATAATTGTAAACTCGATGTACTAAAAGTAAATGGTATTATTATATATTGAAAAAAATTTGTTGTGGCGTTAAACAATCAAATTAGAACCTACCTCAATAATTTTATTAGAAAAGATTGTTTTTGATGTCTAAATATCTTCAAATTCATCATCTCAACATCAAAATGTATGGACATGAAAAAAAAAATGGATTTCTAAGTTTTGAAAATAGTGTATTTTGTATCGCACTTTTAGACCATCAATTTTCAAGATTTTCAAGTTTTTATATATCTCTGATCTACAGTATTTTTTAAGCTTTAAACTTTATAAATAAAGCTGAAAATATATTTTAAGGCTATCAAAAAGATTTCCAGTATTGAAACCATATTTCTCGATACTATTTGAAGATAGGCTCTAATTTGATTGTTTAGAGCCTAGGCTGCATACAAACCGCACCACCCTTACATATTTTTATAGGGTGCAGTTTTTATAAAGTTGCAACCTTAAACAATCCAATTAAGGTGCACCTTAAAATTTTATTATAACATGTAATTTTTTGTGAAAAAAGATTGGTATCTTAAAATCTATTTTCGTACCTAATTAGAAAATTTTAAATTTTAAAAATACTTAAAGTCAAGTAGATCTATAAATATATGAAAAACTTGAAAATGAACGGTTTAGATAATTTGTTGCAAAATACACTATTTTCGAGACTCAAAAACTTTTTTTTTTCATGTTCATAGATATCGATGTGGAGATGATTGATTAGAGGGCTTTTCCAATATTAAAACAACATTTCCAATAGATTTTTGAGGTCCATATGTGAGTCTACATTTTAATGTTGCAACCTTTTATAAACTTTTGCCATTTTTATATGGGAGCTCATAATGGGTATTTTAAAATTAAATAAAAAATAAAAAAAAATTATACAAGGTTGCAACCTTAAAATGTAAAATTATATATGCACCTTAAATTCATCGAAAAAGGTTGTTTTAATGTTGAAAAATCCTCTAATTGATCATCTCAATGTCAAGATCTATGAATATACAAAAAATATATATTTTGAGTTCTAAAAATAGTGCATCTTGCAAAACATTATCTAAAGCATCCATTTTTTAGATTTTCATATGTTTATAGATCTACTTGATTTTAACCATTTTTGGAGTTCAAAAGTTTATAATTAGACACGAAAATAGATTTTGAGATAATTCTAAGAATTTTTTACGCCAAAATTACATGTTATGATATAATTTGGAAGTGTGCCTTAATTGGATTATTTAAAGTCGCAACCTTGTAGAGGTTAAAAATACAAGTAAAATATTAAATAATATTTTTCTCATAAGTATTTTAATAAATTTCTAAAATAATAAAATAAAACGCTAAACTTACCCCGTGACTGCTTCTGCACAAGTGACGAGGTGGCCTTTGCTCATTTATAATTCCACACAAAAATAGAGCATAATATTTGAAAATAAAACGCATTTTGATAATAACGGAAAATAAAATTGATATTTACATAAATTTCTCTAAAAAGAAAAACTGGCATCTACAATTTAGAAAGCAGGAAAAAAATGAAATGTGGATTAAAAAGAAAAATAAAAAACTAAGAATAGAAAGAGCAAGAATATGCTTCTGTGAAAATGTATCCAAGGGATGGAGATGCATCAAATAAAGGAAGGCAGCAATAATTACCAAAAGAAGCCCTCACTTTTTCAGATATACCTTGACAATTCACTACGAAGTGCCAAAAATACCCACTAAATACTAATACAGTCGGCATAATAATCCTTACCAATAAACATCAATAAGTGTTTTCCAGGAAAATCCTAAAATGGGCATTTTAGTAATTTCTCAATCAGAGAGACATAATGTTTGTTTGCCATCTAAATATTGATTAAGTGATGAATAAAATGGCATAAACGGGAGCCATAATAAAAAAACTGCAAAATCTAGGGATACTTTACTGTAAAATACTATACTTTGAGAGAGAGAGATACAATGTAAGAGAAGATATTTCTCGGCCAAAAAATACAGCAGATCCAGTGAGATACTCACGACTTGTACAGCAAAATTAGTGAAGAGAGAGCACATGTTTTTGCATACATCGGATCTAGAGAGAGAAAGAGAGCTTCTCCATCAATATCTTTCCAGTTTCCACAAAAAGCAGGCACCAGCTAAACAAATAGAGAGAAATCTGTACAAAAAAAAGTAGAGAGAAGAAAAAAAAAAAATCACCACTTTATTCATTTCACCTGGAAGAAACAGGATGCAAGCTCCTAGCCAACCCATTCACGGCGCCATAACTCCTCGAACTAAACCCTAGGCACCCAAAAAGTCCATGCCTATAGGGCAGAAACGTCTTTTTCCGCATCTCCTCTGCAACTGCCCTGTTAGCTGTGTAATGAACCTCATGAGGCGATGGTGGTACCCTTCTCTTCCCCATATTAGACTTCCGCGCCGGAATATGACCCTTTTCTGCCAACTTTTCGGACGTCTGCAACTTTTCCGTCGACTTCTCCGGCCCCTGAACCTGACCTTTGGGGTTACTTTTCTTTTCCTTAGAGGGCGAAAACGTCAAAGAAAGCCATATTTTCTCTTTGCTAGAACTCCTGCCTTCGCTCTTGCTCCTATATAAGAGATCTTTGAAACTGATCCATCGGCGAGATGAACGGCCTGGATTTGAGGGATTTTCCGGCAGGACCGCCGGAGATGGAGAGTCTTCCGGCGCGTTTTCCGGCTCGTGGGCCCGGAGCGGCGACATGGATCTGGTCCGCCGATGTGGGGACCGCGACCTTGCTAGATCTCTACCACGTTGCGGGGACGATGGGGCGGCGAGATTCTCGGTGGAGGCATTATTTTCTGGCCGAGATCTCGGAGCAACGAGATTTTGTGGGAGCGGGGTTGACGTGGGCCGGATCTGGCCGTTGAGAAAGAGCTCATCGGCTGAGATCATGGACGTTGGGTTGGGGGTAATGTCGAAAAACGGGGGAAAGCGAGGGGTAAACTCGAAGTCGGAGGAAGAAGGGGCAGGGGGGATAATAGAGGCGGTGGTGGGGGTGGTTATGAAGTGGGTGGGGCTAGCAGGGGCGGAGAAGAAGAAGGGGTGGCGAGGCGGAGAGGAAGGGGCGCTTGCGTAGGGAGTGGAGCATGTGCTGTCTGCTTCTGGTTCAAGGGTGGAATAGTCCATTTTCTGGATTTTCTCTCCCTACACTCTGGTTTATTTCTTTGTTGCAGCTTCTTCTTTCTCTGTGGGTAATGATGGGAGGAAGAGGGATTTGCCTATGAAGAGAGAGGGGTTTGAGCCACAGGGATAAATCTTCTTCTCTTTGGTACAAGTCCAATAATGGTGAAGAAAGAGATGGAAGTTATGGCTTTGATTATCTTCCGGGTTCTTGTTCTTGGTCCCCTGCAAATAATAATGGGAGCGCGTTGTAGAGAGAGATAGGGGAGGGGTTAGAGAGAGAGAGAGAGAGAGAGGAAGGATAAGATAAATGAGAGAGGTTTGGGATTAGAGGCTCTTTGTGCTTTTCTTCTCTGTGGTTCTTCCGTGTCTTTTGCTCTGCAAGTAATAATGGAGGGCAGGGCAGGGCAGGGCAGGGCAGGGCGAGAAGATTGTAATGTGAACAGAGAAATAGAAGGGAGGCGGAAGTTTAAATATGAGTGTTGAGATTAGTAGCCCCCACTCCCTCCTTTGCTTTATAAGTAACTGCGGTGTCAAGGGGGTTTCATTCTCGTTTCAACCAATTGCAATGTCAGAAATGACGAAAATGACCTCGCTTACGGGGTTGTACGAGGTTGCTGCATTGGTAATGACTAAAATGCCCTTCATTCCAGGGTGATGTACGAGACAGCAAACCAAGGGTCGATCCTCCATAGATTGGGAAGCCCCCCAAAAGACGAAAATGCCCTCCGTTTCGGAAATGCTGAAATTAAAACTGAAAAGTCGTACCACCTTCCTCATTTGCCACCGACACCAATCTACTAAGTAAATTGGAAATGACGAAATACCCCTTATAGAAAAATTAAAAAAAACCACGTTGACTCGGACTGTGCTTGCGCCTCACGATTCGCAGCTTGCAAGATATGCCATTTTTTCATGGGAAATAACGAAGTTACCCTCTCAAAATGACCAACCCCCGTTCCATGAAGCACCACTTGTCCATGAAATAGCCCCATCAATTTTTTTTTTCCTTTTAAACATCCATCCATGCAGATGCCCTCTCCACCCCCCTCACTTTGAAAGCCATAGTGAACCCCTGTTGTCCCCGAAAAATTCGACACTACCCCCGCCACTTCTGACACGGCCATATGCTACCGTAGCAAACAATCAACAGCTACTAGGCGCCGCTCACACTGAAATCGAAATTAACTCAAATAAAAGGGGCCTGCATTAACACCGTAACCGAAATTAACTTCCATTAGGGGCTGGAGCGGCTCTAACACGGAAATAAACTCGAATGAGAAGGTGGTGGGTTAATTAGCGCGAGAATCCAAGTACATTGATAGAAAAGATGGTCACATGTGCGGGATTATGACGTCATTTTTGCTCGTGCGAGGTCCGCTCCCCGACGCCCATCACTTGCTCTTGGACGGCTCTCCCCCGCGAAAAATAAAGCTTACAAAATTCAGGGAATTTCTTTTTTCTTGATGCAGACACTTTTGGGCACCGCAGTTTTTGCTACTTGTATCCAAACTTGTCTACTGTACATGAAAAACCAGGTGCACCAAGGATGTGATATTATTTGGCCACAAACAAAATTTATTTATCAAATGTTACGACCCGCTTTCTGTTGGGTTATATTGGGGACTCTAGCCTCTCGGATCCTACTTAAGATATTGTACATTATTGTTTAAATTTTAAATAATTTAGTGCAATTATAAATCAGGTGCAATAAATAAAACAAATATAAAAAATGTATTACAATAATACACGAGTTACATAGTTCACGGTTTTTACAAATAAAAATCTACTATCATAATAAAGATACAATTTTGGGTTACAAAAAGTAATACCTCTATCTAAACATCGATAAAAGATCATCACTGATCTTTTATTCTAAACTCTCTCTATCTAGAAGTGAAACTTTAACCAACAAAAAACTCATAGGAATATCGTTTCTCTCTCGTAAGCCATGTCTCTCTCTCTTGGAAACCCATTTCTGTAACCCTCATAAGACTGACATTCAAAAGGATGAGTATTATGCTTTCCTTGATCCCATCTTATAGAGATCATTTGAGCTTTTTTTTTTCCTACTCAAAAAATCCTTTCTCTTTTTCATATTTAATGAAAACATAAACATGGTAATTTTGACTATCACCAAACCGAACACTTTCATCTATAGAATTTGATATCCAATAGCTAAAAATAATTGTGACTTCCTTATATCAAAACTCATAGTATACAACCACATAAATTAAAGGTCCAATAAGACATACACCAAAAAGAACGTCGTTGTAATGTTCAAAAAACCCTATGACAAATGATATCAAACTCGAGATTTATAGATACGAAAAAAAAAAAGAGTATCTATCTTAAAAAATAGTGCATCTTTTTTAATAAAATAAAATAAAATAAAAAATAGTACATCTTGTTACACATTATTTTATTTTATTTTTTTTAGTTTAGCATATTATTTTCTTCAGTACAACATGCTTAGCTCCAGCTAGAGTAAGCTATTCATTTTGTACCCCGAGCAGAAAACGTACATGGAAAAAATTACTTGGACCTGAAAATTTGTCATCCATGTAGATATCGATCTTATTAAAAGAAAAGAACCGGAATTCAAACACTTTATAACACTCTACAGTATTCGCTCATCGCTCAATTTTGGGGCGTTATTTATTTCATTCTCATAGATTATGTGTTAATATATATTTTTTTTGAAGTTAGGTCTCTAGGTATTAAAGAAGATACATCCCCAAATTTTGGGTCCTAAAAATACCCGGACCTTAGTTTTTTTGCCTAGAGTAAATGGACAATTGCTCCCGCAGGAGCAAAAAGTTATTATTTTTTGTTAACTTATATTGATTTCTCCCAATTTATTGTAAACATTTTCAAATATTTGGAGATTTACTCGATTTTCATTTTTTTTTTCAAATTTTAAATTTCATTAATAATAATAATATATTTTCAAACCCTCCTATATTTTACCCAAACGAGAAGAGTCTCTTCAAAGCTCGCTACAGTTTGATTGTTTAATTTTTGGTTGGTGTATAAGCGCAGGGAATCACTGTATTTGCACCCACGTTGTAAGTGGTAATAGCAAAAAGTTGAGTCGGGTTAGGAACCAAAAAGAATTTCTCTGCCCAGGCCCACGCCCAGGCCCAGGCCCAGGCCCATGGCCATGCTTTCGCTTTCACATGCCCCCCCATGTTCTCCTGTCTTCACCCCTCGAGTAATAATTTGTACTTCATTTCTCATGGGGTTCATAGCTTTATTTGCCTTAGCGATACAAGAAAGTGTTTGGCATTATGGATCTCTCCAGCACTCTTCTGTAAATACCTATATTTTGGGTGGAAATAGCACAAATGTTTGGAAAACTAGCCAAAGTTCATGGAAATGGGGTCAGCGAAATATTTGCCGAGGCCGAAACGAAAACCGAAATCCTGAGTTTCGGTTCATTCAGTTCTCGTGCCGTATTAGTTCGGAACCCAGACCGCTTAACGTATCTATATACCGCTACTTATCATTACGTTAACAAGACCATATTCTTGTCGGTGGGAAAAATAAAGAAAACAAGGAAAAAGTTAAGGATGCAACTTATAATGTAGAACTACGGATGCATCTCAAAAATTTATTGAAAAATGTAGTTTTAATGTTGAAAAACCCTTTGATTGATCATCTCGACATCGAGATGTATGACCATAAAAAATAAAAAGATTTTAAGCATTAGAAATATTGTATTTTACAACAAATTATCTATACTGTCTATTTTCAAGATTTTCATCTGTTTATAGATCTACTTGATTTTAACTATTTTTTATATTTAAAATTTTATAATTAGATATAAAAATAGATTTTGAGATAATCCTAAGAACATTTTACATCAAAATTATATCCCATGATAAAATTTGAAGGTTCACCTTACCTCTACAGCTGCGGCTGCATCTGTATGCTAACTGCACTCAGAAAACAAAGACAAGGAGAAAAGTATAACATATAGTCTCTTTAGTTTCAAACAGAAGTTGAGCAGCTCCATCAACCGTTCGTTTGTAGCGTACGATGGATTGGAGAGGCGTTTATAATTTGTTTGGATATAAACAGGTACTGTGGTATATGAACTCATAAAAACATTGCATTTCACATAGGGCATATTTGTTACATCTGGTGTTTCAAAACCTGGCTCCATGGATTAGAAATTGTGTCCCAAACTAGGAATTAGCTGGGACCAAATCAGTTCCATGAAGGTATCAGTAAAAGTTGAGTCCTCACCCAAAACCTCGCACTTCCCCCCCTCATTAAAAAAAAGAAAAAAAAAAAACCCAATACCCCTATTTTATTTTATTTGATTTTATTGTGCTTTTGGTATTAACCAATTTGGATCGGCAATTTCGCGATCGAACGCAATTCTATGGAGTGGACGATCCACCCCACTACTCTAGGTTTTGAAACATATTACTTTTAAAACCCAATGATTTCCTATCTTGATCATAAATCTGGATGGCAATCGATCTGGACCGAACTGGTATGGGTCCCCATCTTGTTTCTCTCCAAAGCTTTTATGTATTTATTTATTTAAGTTTATCTAATATATTTTTTAAGACCTACATCCCCACCGCATAAGACATTCTTTTATTTTTGTTTTAGTCATATTTTTTAGTATTTTTGGATCAACAATTTGGTCCGATGAAACCCTAACCGGATCGCGGATGTAGATCTCAAGCTCATATCATGGGCGAATTGTTTGTCCCACATATCAAGGTTTTAAAACGCTGATTCCATTAAAAAAGTACATTTCCAACCCAGGGAAGAGTTTAGTTTGCTCTCGAAGAGAGCTTTCCTTCAATGGATACAACCTTTTAAGCGGCATTCTCACAAGATTACCTAACAAGTTGGAAACAACTAGGAATGTGCTTTCCCGTCTAGTATATGACTTTGCCATGAAATAAAAAAGAGAGAATGCAATAGTTCAGGGGAACATGCAGCCAACCTCAAATTATTATGGCTTGGATAATGATGTTGATGAGTAGAAAATAACATTATCATAAAACTCTAAAATGAACATACATTTTTTCCTAAAAAATAAAAAAAATGATCTTATTGTATATATTTCCATATAATACATTTTTAGATGGGGGAAATGTTTCTATGCTTTCCCTACAACATAGAAGTTCTATCCTCCCTTTACCATACAGCCGTCTAATTTTGATCAAGAGAGCTACTCACTATTTTAGATCTTAGATCTGATATCTCGAAGTATTTTATTTTTATTTTTTTTATACAAATTGTATGATTGTGAAATTTAGTACGTGTCATCTTCTCATTGGGGTACACCTATAAAAAAATATTAATTTTTTTATACAAAATATAATGACCAAAATACCCCATAAAAATTTTCGAGGTATTTTGATCATTTTATTTTATTGAAAATATATTTTTTTATATTTTTCGTTAGTGTGAGTTTAATAGAGGAATGAACGTCCAAAATTTGGTAT